CCCTCGGATATCTACCCTCGGATGTCTACCCCCAGACATCTACCCCCAGACATCTACCCCCGGAAATCTACCCCCCGTGGTCAGCTCTGCCGCGTATCGGCTAATATTCATTGTTGTAATTGATTTTCTAATTGCTTTATGTAAATCAACGGCTCTTAGGTTAATCATTACCCTCTAATATCTAGTATTAAGCATGTGATATGTCATTGCCTTCTTTAACATTATCTATCTTCCTAATAAAATAAGCTGTAACATCAGCCCTTTTTCACCCGAACTACTTCACTGATATTTATGATTGAGGTGTAATTTTAAATCTTAAAATCCAGCGCAACGCAAAATGGAATTAAAATCTTTATGTTGATAAAGGGCTTCAAAAGTGTGACCCTTAAGCATCTGATTTATTTCCAGACAGTGATTTAAATGGTTGACCAACTTTCACATAGGCCTACATCAGTAACAGCTAACGGCGCATGCACGAGCGCGGATCGGAAGTGTTCATCACAAAAAATTTACCAATACTATTTTACTACTATTTAAAGGTTCTTCCAAAAGAAGAGAAACCAGTTAACATTGTAATAATAACTCTTATGATGTACTGTATGGGAAATATTTTATTCATTGAATGATCAACCATATTTTGTAACTAACGCAATAGTCATTATTGCTTTTACACTTATTACTCATCAAAAAAGCTAAAGAGCTAAATGCTCAAAATTTTTATTACTTAAATCTATTTATCGCAGTTATATGAATTAGCATAAGCCTTGAAAGTAACCGTCAATGTTGACGGGTTTCACCTAATTCTGTTCTGTATACTACCTTTAAAATGCCTCATTTTAACATTTTACTGGCAGGAAACCTGCTTATTTACTTCCTATGTTATTCTTATGAATGAATCTTTTGAACACTTATTTATGGACCTAAGTTGACAAGTTTTGTTTTAAGGCAGGATTTTCCAATAAGGGCCGCCGGTACACACACACCGACTTTTGTCGTGCCCCTGTACGACTCAAGAAATCGTATATCTGCACGACAAGTAGAGAAACAAAGGAGGCAATGGAAGTCGCATGGGGGTGTACACACTAGTGCGACAGCAGTCGTGGAGGTGTCAAAGTCGTGGACGACAAATTTCGAGTCGCGCCCTACACCGACTGGGGGTCCGACAGGCAAGTCGTGTCGTATGGGCTCACGACTGTACTGAGTCGTAGCGGGCATGGCCTTATACGGCTGTCGCGTCGGTGTATACACACTAGTGCGTCTCGGGACACGACTGCGGGTACCACGCTGGGTTTTTAGCTATTTAAAACTGGTCTACGACACTTACTTATTAAATTACAAACGATCAAAAACCAATTTTTTGCGATTTTAGACGTTTTCCAAGATGTTATCATGGCAACGGTTGTGAGAGGTTAGGTCAAGTATTATTAAATTTATGTAGGCTAAGGCTACTTCAAAATAGGTGAATGATTGTAATATTTCAAATAATTCAACATTAAACAACGTCTTTGTTGATTTTTTACCATAGGGTATGCATTAAATGGGGTATTATAAATTTTGACAGTACAGCCGGATAGTCCGGCCATTTTTTAGTCCGGCCGGTGGTCCGGTCCCGAGGTGGCCGAACTAGAGAGAGTTTACTGTATGTACATTTACAAAAATAACTTATTGTAATGGTAACTTATTGTAAAGGGCAACACAAATTAACCAAAATTAACAATACCTTAACTGATAACACATATAATTAGACAAATTAAGGATGTATAATGAAATGTACATAAATGGCATTACATCAATTCTTGTTTATTTTTGCAAAGTGTTTCAAAACAAGTTTTTTTTACATAGCAACGACTAAACTTTTTAGACACATTCATTCTGTTTATACATGGTTGTATGCCTGTATGCCTGGGTTAGCTGGGCCAGTAGTCCTAAAGCGAGTAGATTTCACTGTTGTGTTTGCTGAGTCGTATACCGATACGACAACTGTCGTGAGGTAACACGACTTTGTCGTATGCCAGCACGACACAAACAGTCATACTCACATGCGTCCAAGTCGGTGTGTGTGTACCGGCCCTAAGACTTTATACATTCTCTGAATATGCGAATGTGCTGCAATGGGGGTAGGCGTACCGTTGATATATATTAAAAGATAGTAGGCTATGCATAAAAAATTGAATGTGGCCATTATTTTGAATTTTAATAATTGTCTTATTTCAGGTCTTTCAGAGAAAATACTTTAAAATCCCTTCTTAGTACGCATCTAAAATCTTAGAAACTAAATTTTTTTACTACTAGGTGATAGGAAAAATTTACCATTATACACCTGACTTTTATTGATCCTCTTTCTCAATTTAACAGTTTACAACTGAGTTTTGGTTTACTAAACAATTATTACTACTAGGCCTACATTGAATAAACCGGAAGTTCACCACAGTTTACTCACTTTATCCTTTAAGAAATGTGTGTAAAAACAATGGTTCAGTACGATGTACACTTGACCATGTGCAAAGTGCGCAATATTATATTATTTTCATAACTTATTCATCTCCTGTTTACAGTTGCAGACGATCTATTCATGTTTTCACAACCTGACTTAAAAATTGATGTGATGAGTACTACTCACATTTCACTTTTAAACTGTTACTGTAGGCTATAGAGTAAAAGTTGGTCAACCATTGGAAGCACCTTCTAGGAATAAATCAAAGGCTTAGGGGTCAACCTTTTGAAGCCCTAATCGAAATATCGTTTTAATTACCATTTGGTGCTGCGCTCATAAGCTTGGCCAACGCCCCTAGTAGGTACTGTAGGTAGCTTAAAGATTAGTTTATAGGTGTAGGTAATTATTTTATTTTATGTAAACTTACCTACTTTAAAGTAATGTATAGCCTTTTCTTGCAAATTTCTTGTCTTTATGGAATTAAAAAAAAAAAAAAAAAAACTTATCAGATTACATTCATTTGGGTTTACAAATTTTTTTTCAATAAGTATTTTTAGCTTATTTATAAATTTATTGAACCACTTTTATTTTAATAAAGAAAATTTGAAATTTCACATACAAAAGCTGTTTGATAGACAAGTTCTTAAAGAATTAAATACAAATTTTTTTACTTGTAAGTGTTTTTTGTTCTACTTCGATTATGCTAATTAAGAGGTTTGGAGGTATTCCTTCATTCAGTTTGGGTTTGTCGTTGTATGTCCTTCCCGTGGTTGTTGTCAGTTCCAAGAGATTTAATTTCCTCAAAACTTTGTTTATAGGCACCCAAGCTTGGTCTTTCTCATTTTTTTTAAAGGCGGTTGTTGGTCCTGCTGGATCTTTATTTTGGCCACTGATGTCAATCACCTCTGCCACCCATCACTGATTGTCATACACACATGCAATAGAGTCTTTTGTATGAAGTGTAATTTTTACAGCTTTTGATGTTGAATGAACTTCATATTCAGTTGCTAGTGAGGTTGAAGCACCTAACATTACTACTGTCCGGTACAGCCGGTACAGGAATAAAACAATGTAAGCTTCTTGTTCCAGTAATCTTCAAACATTTCTCAAATCGGTCCAGGAGTTTGTTGTTGGAGTGTTGAGTGATTTCTCCATCTCTTATGAAAATGAGTTATTTTGTTATGAAATTCTGTGTTTTGTGACTCCTTTACGACTTCCTGTAGGGACTGGAGACTGTATTAGTTTCCACAGAATATGAGTTATTCCTTTTCAAAATACCATAATAAACACTTAATTGATTTATGTTACTGATTACGGTACATTAAATCTGAATGGAAAATCAATTTTAAAACCTATAAATAAATATAATTTACTAAGTTTTATTTCAATTGAATGATGAATAAAACTTAAAATTCAACAGGATTTTATTTATTTTTAGTACTGTATATACTTTGGGTACAAAGTTTTAAGTTAAAAATCTGTTTTGGATTTTTGAAATGTACATTAAGATAAGTTTACATTAAATGAAATAATTACCTACACCTATAAATTTATCTTTAAGCTACCAACAGTACCTACTAGCCACGTTGGCCGAGCTTATGGTTTTATTGTGATTTTTATGATACTGTAACTTAGCTTAAAAGTAAATCTCAAAGATGGAAATTCATACAGCAGTATAACAACCATAAGAGGGGTTTTTGGTAAAAATTTCAGATTTTTAAACGTCCCAACAAATATATTGAGACTCAAAATTTGAATTTTTCAAAAAATTTCAGTTTTTGAAAAATGATAACTTTTAAAGGAATAAAGTCTCAGGGTTGGTATTTGAAATACAAACACTTCTACTGAGTTGCTATACACATACAACAAAAATCAAGTTTGAGATTTTATTCGTTCCAATTGTTATACGCCTTCAAAAGTTGAAATCTTTCCGTTTTCTTATGAAATGTTGAGATGGGTTGAAAACGGTTTTTGATACACATTTCAATAAATATGTACTGAACATAATATTTAGGCTATTTCTTCCAGATTAAAATGCCTTTTGTTTCATCACTCTAGTGTTCATGGTTACCGAGTTGTGCAAGTTAACGCAAACCCTTACATTACCGTAGCAAAAATGCAAAAAATGTTAGTAAAACAAAAATGGCCGCCGTAGGAGTAACAAAAGAGATAAAACAAATTTAAAATCACTTTTGAACCCAGAATTGATATAGGTATCTGGGTAAAAATATTATTTAGCCTGTTTAAAAAATGGTCAAGCAACCAATTATTTTATTTCTGGATCACTTGATATCCTGGATAGACCCATTTCCACTACTACATTTGAGTGGAGGAAGATGGGAGGATAGGTTACTTATCTTAAAAATTAGAATTATATTAATAAATAAACAATACGATATTGGTTATAGGTGTATCGATACGGGCATGTCGATACGCTCCCGTGTATCGATACAAATCATCGATATTTTCGAGTCCCTGCATCCATACACACATCACTACAATATTCTAAAATAAGGATCTATTTATTAAACCTAATAGCCTATTTATTTTTTGTATGTTTCTTAAGACTGGCTACAGCTTTGGATTCGGCTTTGTGAACTACACAAAACCAGAAGATGCTGATCTCGCAATAGAGAAGCTTAGTGGAACTGAGATCTTCAACAAGAGAATCAAAGTTTCTTATGCGAGACCCTCTGGTGATGAAATCAAAGATACAAACCTGTATGTCACTAACCTTCCAAGGTAGGTTCTTTTAAACAGTTAAGCAATTGCAACACTCTTTACTTTTGACATAGTTTTTATTGTCTGCACCAGTGGCATTTGTAAGTAAGGTAATTATAGGGGTTTGCCTTCTGAATCCTACTAGGTAAGTAATACCATTATTTTTCACCGCTGATGAATATTACTTACAAGACATCACCATACAAATATACAGCAATTGACAAAAAAAACAAGATAGGGCCAGTTTTTATAAGGGGAATGAGTTGTGGGTGAATTAGTCCAACAGCTGATTGTTATTATTGTCAAGCAACTGAAAGCACAGAAAACGTACTACTATAACCCAGAATGCCAACCGCATGGTAAAAAGCATTAAGCGGTTTGAGAGAGCTTTGCCTGTCAATCCGTAGGTAGCGCCACCAGCGTTGCCATGCAATAGCATAGCAACGCTGGTGGCGCTGCCTACCGATTGACAGGCAAAGCTCTCTCAAAACACTTAATGCTTTTTACCATGCGGTTGGCATTCTGGGTTATAGTAGTACGTTTTCTGTGCTGAAAGTAATAACTTTATTAAATGAACTAACTCTGATTCTGTCTGCAATAAGTATAATGACGTCACTTCACTAACTAGAACTAGAATACCAAAATTAATACTGTGCTGCTAGTCCGCTACGCTAAGTTTAGGTTAAGTGAAGAGAGTAACTTGAATAGTAGATGAAGAGAATAGTAAAATTGTTGATTAAAACATTATCATTGACTATAGAAATATTTCAAGTGATTATGTATACAACAATGTTTTCTATAAAGGGAAATGGATGGACTGTCAGACTAATTACATGTATGAATTGAACATATGTGAATTGAACACCACCACAAACATGAACAATTCAAATTATCGGGAAGAATAAGAAACCTAAGATGACAAAGCGGTAGATGCATTTGTAAATGCAACCGAGCGTTGATTGTTTTTAACTAATCGGTATTTATTTAGGCATGTCGGGGTGGTCAGTCGAGCTTTGTGTGAATTCGTTACTGCATTCAGTGTTTTGAAGTCAGGATAGATTAGGAAGGTAAAGTTTAGGTTATAATAAGTGATGGGCGGATCCAAGGATATGTCAGTACCGGATCCAGATCTTCAATATAAAATAAATTATTGTAATATGCATACATATTATTGTAAATCAAACTCAGAAATGTGACAGGATAGATATCCCTGTACACCATATCTTTGTGTAAACAATAGTCTCTTAATGGCTTTTATGGGTGTTATTTTCAATAAATAATTTGAATCATTCCAGAGGTTTAACTCTGCTAAAGGCAGCAAATTTTTATGGAAATTGTAATAGATCACATTAGTATTTAAGCAGAATTTACTAAATTATTTGTTGACTAGTGGCCTGTAGAATTTAGACACAATTGTCCATATGAAGACAGCTCCCCATTTTGCGGTAGTATGTCAGAAATATATCTATGAATTTGTCCCTGAATTTTAAAACAGTAAGGCGACTAAGGCCCATTTTTCGGAATCTCTTTTTGTGTAGCGGAAAGCGACGCAAAAGCTATTAGCTATTGTACTGTTGTATTGCCTTATGTTTGTTATGAAGTTAGAATCATGTAAAAACAGTTCTTTTAGTTCGTCATGTACTTGGGTTTATGGCATATTAATGAGTCCATTGTGTCGTCCATTTATTTGTGGCCTCCTCTGCGAAGTGAAATGCGTCACAATGCATGCAAGTGCTTTAAGAGGGCTAGATTGTGAGAAACAACACTCAACTCATTTTACAGCGTTCTTCTAAAGACAGGCTGTAAAACTGCTTCTGGATTTCTTTTACAGTTAGGCCCTTGACGTTCTCTTTTGCATTTCTTAAGTCTGTTGAATTCCTGGACACTCTTCCACGTCTTGCAGGTCTCCCCCTACTCTGTCTAGTTACTTCACTCATTATAAAACCGGAAAACAAAAAAATTAAACACAATTCATTTTGAAACATTATTTACCAACTTTGACTTTCGGAATAAATGTAAACATTGCAAATAAATAAGTAACAGCTGATAGAATGCAGACATTTTTCAGTCCCCATGCATTTCTTATGGTTGATATTTTACGTTTTATCTCGTTTTCTGGTAGCTTTATGGGAATTCTGCTATTTTTCCCGAGTCCCTGGGGTCAAGACCTTTAATTTAAGACCTCTCCCACTTTTCTGCGACTTACCAGACGTCCACAATTTTCTGGTAAAAATTTGGTCTTACAGAATTATATATATAGATTAGTAAAAAACTTCACACACCCTATCAAAAGAATTAAAACTGGAATAAAAATGATAACACATTTGTTATCACCTTTTTAATGTAAACAAAGCTGACGTTTTCAATCCCAATGCATTTTAAATGGAAGATATTTTTCTTTACTTATCATTTTCTGGGAGACCCCCTGGGATCAAGACCTTTAATTTGATTCCTCTCCCATCATCCAGCGAGCTGTTGAACTCGCACAATTTTTATTTAAAAAAATTGCTTACAGAATTTTAAGTATAGATAGGCCAACCTGTAAAAATAATAAATTACATTAAATGATACAACTCTTATCGGTCTTAGATTTCCTGTATTTTAAAGGGTGCATGGTATTGTACAAATAAGAAGAAAATGACTAAAATTGGATTAATTATTGGGCTTTCAGCATCTACACTTCACGTAAATCGCGACTGATATATATCATATATATATATTAGTATATATATATCTGATATATATGTATTAGTGATGGGTGAATCCAAAAAAATGTCGGTACCGGATCCGGATCTGGATCTTGAAAAATTCTGATTCGGATCCAGATACACACTGTCATAAGGGCGTGTAAAAAAAACGTAATTAACAGAATCTCAATTTAAATCATACTGTTTAAAATTAAATTGGTAATGTTTAAAGATAAATACATCTTATATATAGAGTAATCTCCAGTTGAGCCCATAATCCCTCATTTTTTGGGGACACTAAAACTTTTCAAAATCATAATACCCCCGCCGCAGCAAACCTGCAGACTAAGCGAATTTCCATTTGACTGATTGGATTTACACTGAAATGTCTACTTAAAAATATAACATTTATTCTTGATTTAAATAGAGTTAGTTTAACAAGTACTTAGGTTTGCTGCATCAGGGAGGGTAAAACTGTTTTTTTTTTAAATGTGAATAGTTTCATAAGAAATAAAAACATTTTCCAAATTTGATCAAAATATGTTCACAAACAAGCAAACTACAACAGTTTACTTATTCTCCATAAGAATAACATGGGAATTTTAAATTTAAATTTTTTTGGAATTTTCTCCGTAACAATTAGGTGCATAATAACGCTTCAATATACTAAGTTATTTGTTTTTTTAAGCTCTACAAAATGGTTTGGAAAGAAATTGCTAAATTTTATGTTTTTTGGGTCAAAAATGGGAAAACCCTATTTTTACCCCATAAAACCCCCCGTAAACCCCCGTTTCCATGGTCCGATCATGCTGGATCGCGAACTCGTTCGAATAAACGTACGTTTACACGTTTGTACCAAATTTCATCAAAATCGGATCATTTTTGCTCGAGTTATCGTGCTGACGGACACATATATATATATATATAAATATATAAATATATAAATATATATATATATATGAATTTGAACGGATGGTGTTTTTGGCCTCTAGGGACCTCAAAACGAAAAAAAAAATCGGTCCCACGTCCAGGTCTTACCATGAGTACTACGGTAATAGCTTATTCCCTATATGGGAAATTCGCTAAAATGAAACTTTGTCCTAAGTTTATTATAGTTAGATCTTGAATATGATATTTCGTGGTTTTTGTAAGCACTATCCAATTTATTTATGCCTGAATCACCTCTTATTAATCTCTTCCTTAAGTTCGTTCCAGGTCCACAGTACTGATAGACGGTTATGTGAACTTCTACAGGTAAAATACCCTAGGTGTCTGTGTACATGAAGACTGTACTCTGTTCTAACTTAGAAAAATATTGGATGGGGGAGTCTCGACTTTTTTACCCTGTATGGACACAGATAATCTTCTTGTACACAGACACAGGGAATTTTACCTGTAGAGTTTCACCATAGACAATAGAGTACGACAATGAGTAGTAGTTGTTTATAGACTGTCAAAGAAAGGTTTTGCGATCCGCCGCTAGAGCATTATCGCCGTTCGATATCGGTTATCGGTATTCTATTCCGTTTCATCGTCGACTACTCGCCAGCTGTTACCAGCACTACCACTCTTGCAAACGAAATGCTTACTATATCGCTATTATCGTTCTGCAATCGCGTCAAAATCATGAACATCCTCCGCGGCTGTGTAGACATCATTATTGAATGCCGTGGTCCCGAAACATTATTAAAAAAATACCATAAATTATGGCATTTAAATTAATTTACAGCTTAATATTAAATAAGTCAGTAAACTCCAATTCTGGGGAATTCCTCCAAAGTTGGCAACACTACTCCCAACTACCAAGTTGTTATGGAAACGGTCGCTAGCGCTTGATGCTGCAGCGGTGTGCGCCGTAACTACACATTACCCCTAGCGGTCGGCGCCGGAATATACGCTAACCGCAGCACAGCTGACAGTCTATATTTATTTATTTTTGTCTATGGTTTCACATACCCGGCTATCAGTACTGTGGATCTGGAACGAATAACAAAGAGAGATAAGCAAGGGGTGATCCAGGCATACAAGACCGATGTTTTCCCGATTTTTTACTAACACAAGGCTGTCTGTATCTATGTACAAGACCGATTTACCAGATAACACGGCGGTAAAAATTATTACCGGTGGAAGTGCATATGCCCGGCTATCATTAATGTGGTCCTGGAACTAAATTGAAAAAACTGCTATATACAGTACTGTGTATTTGCTCGACTCTCGATAGTCCGGATTTTTCATAATCCGGACCGGACGTCTGCCACATTAGTCCGGATGAGCGTACATGGATACAGTCACTTTATGATAGTAAAAAAATCGGTGAAATTGGTCTTGTACATG